CCTTGGAAAGAGGCCCCGTGATGGGAACAGAGAAACGCGGAAGCCGTTTAAAATCGAAACTTCCCCCTCTCACACCACCCCGCACCCCCCAAACGAAGCGCTCAACCGGCCAGACCCCCCCACCACCACCAGCGTGTCCCCGGCCACCCCGATCCTGGCCTCTCACCAAACAAACACAAACTGCCGGCGAAGGAACTTCATTTAAAGTGCAACATCCCCCCCACGCCCCCCTCCCCTGCGCACTGCGACTCCCCACCACTGTACCGCTTACAAAGACAAAGAGGCCCCCCCCCTCCCGGGTATAGCCTATAACAGAGTGTTGGGGCAAGTGCTGCGGCTGCGGGTCGCAACCTATGAAGGCCGACACGGCCACACGAGGGGGTGGGTGGCCAGCACCACGCCCGGCCGCCTTTGTCTCCCCAGTGGGCGGTGTTTACACACCGCGCCGGGAACTCATTTGAGGCCCGAGTCGACCTAGGGGAGGAGGCCCAGGGCCGCTTCAGAGAACAGGTCACTGGTGTTCTGCCGTGAGCGGGAGTGGAACTCTGTCCGGCAGGTTCGTGGCGCGGCGCGCGAACCGCTACACTACCGCTCCCCACACACACGTGCACCCCGTGCTCAAGGTTCAACGGTGGAAGTTCCACATCCCTGTGGCAGGAACCAGACGCACTCTTGATAACGAACGGCGACTAATTATGGCCAATGCGCGGCTTGATCTCTTTTTCTAATTTATTTTAAAACAATTGCCGAGCACACGGGATCCAAGACCCAAAAAGTCACGCAGCCAAATAACAGGCAGCACTGTGTCCCGTCGATGAAGAAAACTCATTTCGAATCTCAGTCGTCGCTAACTTAGGCACATCATCATAAAAGTGGACAGGATTTGAAGATCACCACGTGGTATACTACACAACTTCTTGGGAGTAAAATCGGGGGTGGTGGTTGTGGCGGTGGTGGTGTTCATAGGTGCAACAACAAGTGGAAAGCCGGGCGGCTAAAATACAGCAAGTTGGCACAGTAGGGAGGACAGCTGGTGGTGCATCTATCGGTCATCTCAGTCAGTCACCCATGGGCACCTGGGGTCTGTCCCAAGACCTCCTGTCAAGCGAGCCTTCGACACATCACGTGGTCTCAGAGTGCACGTGGCCTGACACAGGCGCCGTAGTGACGTCACCGCCACTTAGTGGCGAATAGCCGGATATTGATATTGGTTTCCGAGGTGCTTGCTAACGGCACTTGCCCCAACAGTCTGTTAAGGCTATGCGGTGATCTTCGTCGGTGATGATGACAAGTCTTGTCGTCCAGACAAAAACAAAGCACGTGCCCCGCTCATCCTCTCAACATGAGGCTGATCAGAGGCATTAGGGGGTCATGACAAAAGCACCCCAACCCTTAACAAATTAAACCACTCGTCGACTCGCTCACGGAGTCAAACTGACCCCTCTCACTCACTCACCCATCCCACATGCCCTGTCACAACCCGACCCACCCATATAAACTCACTCACCCACACACACTCTCGCCTACAAATTCAATGGCTAGTCTAATCGCTCACGGACTCACAAACTCACCCCTCTCACTCACCCACCCACTCACCCATCCCACACACCCTGTCAACCCAACAGGGTGTGCGGGATGTCAACTGGAGTTCGCCGAGCTGACCCCACGATCGCACCAAGCGAGAGGAATAATGCAGCTCACAATGCATTTGTTTTGATACGTAATCGCCACTACCTGTGCTGCGATGTATATGTTTCCAGATGACGATGGAGTCGTATATGGGCACCCCCCCCCCCGCCCCCTTGTCACTCTGCTGCTGGATGGAGGCTGTGTAGGTCGTCAGTGATTTTTGACCATACATCACCGCACAGGTTGGTGCAAAGGGGAAGAACAATTGCCCGCGGCTTATTTCAAATGAACAAAAATCTCGACGCATTTATAGTACGGAATAGAAGGGAGGTTCGTACATTTTTAATTCCGTGCAAGAGTCGGCAAATTTCATGCTCCAGCAAACGTTCGATTTGATTGATTGTCCGGAAATCGTTTGTTCTCATGAATAACAACTACTGGAGTTACGGGTGACGTTAAAGCCTGGTACGAGGGATCCTCCTTTAAGAAAAACCAGTTGAGGTGAATGCCAAAAGAAAGTTACGATTAGTGTGGTCCGGACGGAAATCCTTTGAGAGGCGGGCTGGCGGGTCACGACTAAAAGACGCCACCCAACTTTCAGAAACTCCAGCCTGGGGAGGCGATAACTTCAGGTGCAAGAGAAGGTGTGCAGTGAGACGACAACACAAAGACAAGGGGCCTCAAAAACCCACTCCCAACTACCGATGGACGGGGACTGCACACACAAGAGCCGGAGATGCCAGATACTACACGAGCCAAGGCCCTCTGTGACCTCGAAAAACTGACGTGCCCTGCGCCACCCACCCGTTCTGAACCCAGCCTGGAACCAATGACGGGAACAACTTACTGTACTCTAAACGTCTTCTGGATGGAAGCCATAATTAGGAACAGCCCATCGTGGGAATTCAGCACCGAGGGAGAACCACGGGTTACTTGACTGTAGGTAAAGTCACGTAGGTATAAAATAAAATAAATCACGACGTTTCGGGCGCAACACAAGCGTCCGTCATCAGGTGAGAAAGCATGATCTGCTGCTGAGGCAGACTGTCGAATCCAGATTGACTGTAGAGTATTTACAAATGACGTGCCCCTACCGAGTGAGGGAAACGTCTCGCCCAGCACCTCGCCACAGTCCTTACAGTGCCTGCCCTTTGGCACCCGAGTTGTGAGCAACCTCCCCCGACAGCTCAAACGGAATCCCCTCCCCTCCTCACCGACTTCATCCAGCTCCTCGCACACCTCGACCGATCACTCACCTACCTCGCCCGACACCTACGAGACCCTCCCCACACGTTTGGCACTCACCCACAAATTAAACCACTCGTCTACTCACTAACTTGCCAAAAACTCAACCCTCTCTCACCCCCCCCCCCCCGTCAACCCGACCCACCGACTTTAAACTCACTCACCCCCCCACCGATCCAGCTCATTTCACCCTCCTCCAAGCTCACCCCAGGCACTCACGTTGTCCACAAACTCACAACCCACACTCACCCACAAATTCAATCACTCGTCTACTCACTCACGGACTTAAGACTTGCCAAACTCACCCCCTCTCACTCACTCATCCCACTCGCCCATCTCACACCGTCAACCCGACCCCACCCATATAAACTCACTCACCCCTCCTCCCAAACTCACCCCACGCACTCGCTTCGTTCCACAAACTCGCTCACCAACAAATTAAATTGCTCGTCGACCCACTCGTCCACCTTACTCAATCAAAATCTTGCCAAACAAACTCATCCCTCTCACTCACCCATCCATCCCACACACCCCGTCAACTCGTCCCACCCATATGAACTCACTCACCCTACTCACCCGACCGCTCAACTCATTCACCCTCCTCTGAAGCTCACCAACACTCACATTGTCCACAAACTCACTCGTCTACTCACGGACTTACACACCTGCCAAACTCACCAAACTCACCCCCTCTCACTCACCCATCTATTCAACCCGACCCACCGACTTCACCCATAAAAACTCACTCAACCCAATCACCCCACCGATCCAACTCATTCACCCTCCTCCCAAACTCACCCCCTCTCACTCACCCATCTATTCAACCCGACCCACCGACTTCACCCATAAAAACTCACTCAACCCAATCACCCCACCGATCCAACTCATTCACCCTCCTCCCAAACTCACCCCAACAACTCACCCGAGACACTTGGGACCGAACAACTCAAAAATAATAATTATTATTACAACTCGGATGGGTGTATCGAAGGTTTAAACGTAGGCCGCTAAACACCTGTGTGTGAGTAAACTCAACAACAATCATCCGCATATAAAACCAGACACACACACACACAGACACGCACACAGACACACACACACACGCACACAGACACGCACACAAACACGAACGTGGAGTTTGTCCGTAGAGAATGCCACGGTGTTTTGGGGTGGGGCTGCACAAATATCAACCACCACCGTCATCACCACCACGGCCACCACCAACACCACTATCACCAACGACAAAGATGCCCCAGCATAGTCTTAACAGAATGTAGGGGCAAGTGCTGTTAGCGAGCGCCTACGGCACACGAGGGGGTGGGTGACCAGCACCACGCCCGGGACCGGTTCCGATGATCGTCGCCGGTGTTGGCCGTGAGCGGGAATCGAACTCGGGTCGCCAGGTTCGTAGCGCTAACCGCTGCACCACCGCTCCCTCCCACCACTATCAACTACCACCAACCACCACGACCATTACCACCACCACCATCACCACCACCATCATCATGACTACCCCCATTACCACCACCATCATCATCACTACCACCACCATCATTACTACCACCACAACCACCACCACCATCATCACTACCACCACATCCACCACCATCACTTCCACCACCACCATCATCATCACTACCACCAACACGACCATCACCACCACTACAACCACCACCACCAACACGACCATCACTACCACCACCATCACTTCAACCACCACCATCACCATCACCACTTCAACCACCACCACCACTTCAACCACCACCACCACCACCATACTCTCGCTCGCTCCCTCAACAAACCGCGCAACCCCACACGGTCACGAATTCGCCCAGAATTAAAATGTTTTTTTAAAACCCACAAAACCGCCGGGGCATAATCGTAAATCGCCAAACGCTGGACGAGTAAACAGAGAGCGAGGAACAGAGAGCGAGAGACGGAGAGCAAGAGACAGAGAGCGAGAGGCGAGGCGGGCGGGCGGGCCAGGAAGAGGCGGCCGCCATTTTACGGGGTCCCGTCATCACCACCACCACCACCATCAACCACCACCACCACCAACAACATCAACCAACAACATCAACCACCGCGGCGACGAGGCAAGGGGAGGGAGCCCCGAGAAAACTCACGTTGTTTTACCGCACACGGCGAGCGAGCGACAGAGAGCGCGAAGAGGCGGCGAACCCGCGGAGCAAGGCGATGGGGCGGCCGGTTGGAGGTGGTAGTTTGGGGCTGCGGGGGGGTAAGAGTAGCGACGAGGCTCTGGCGGGCCGAGTAGAAAGTCGAGGATGGCGGCGGCGGCGGAGGTGGGGGAGGTCCGCGATGGCGTTTCTTTCTCCCTCGAGTCGATCCGCCCCGCGCGATGCTTCGCGTCGCTTCTCTCTCTCTGAGGGGGGTGGAGACGCCGCCGCGAGCTTCTCTATCCTCGCCTCAGCCGAGACTTGGGCGAGGTCACTTGCGCGGTGACGTCACCGGGCGAGACCATTACACCGCGCGCGCCGGGGGGGGGGTGGGGGGGGTCCGCGGTGGTCTTCTTGAGTCGATCCGCCCCGCGCTTCGCTTCTCTACTGACGCCTCCCCCCCCCCCTCGTCAACGACTTGGGCGAGGTCACTTACGCGGTGACGTTACGGGGACGAGACCATTAACGCGCGGCGGGGGGGGGGGGTGAAACTGGGCTGTGAAGCAGCCCTGGCGACTGTGGCGTTAGGGCGTAGGGAGGAGGGGGTGTCAATGTGAGAGAATGGTAGAGTCCAACACTGTTGGAACTTTTAAATGATTCAGAATTAGAAAACCGTACAACGTTGAACTTCTTTCGCACCGTACGTAGACAAACCGCGCTAATCGGGGGTGCGGGGGGGGGGAACAACACTAAACGCACAAAAAAACGAGTTTCATCAATCGAGATGATGATGATGATGATTATACTGATAGGAACCTCCTGGTTACACCAGCCCACAGGGGATTATTGTGTCCGTCCGTCGTGCAGGGAGGGCTGGGTGGGGAGGGAGGGGCTGGGTGGGGAGGGGAGGGGCTGAGTGGGGATAGGCTGGGTGGGGAGGGTGGAGAGGGGCTGGGTGGGGAGGGGAGGGTGAGGTGGGGCTGGGTGGGAGGAGTGGGGCTGGGTGGGGAGGGGAGGGTGTAGAGGGGCTGGGTGGGGAGGGGAGGGTGGAGAGGGGCTGGGTGGGGCTGGGTGGGGGGTGGGAGGGGTGGGGCTGGGTGGGGAGGGGCTTGTCACTCCGTGGTGCCCTTATAAAACTCAACGTTTAACCTACTCATGCCGGCTTGTGCCCGCCCTCACAGTCGGCCATATTTGCGGAATACACCACGCCGCCGTTGACCCTGGCCATTGACCGAGCAGCCCAACGTTACTACCAGCTCCCTCCGCAGGAATGTGTTTTAAAAGTGCAGCAAAGCTCCCAGTGGCTTCCTAACATCGGAAGGGAAGAGCGTTCCAGACGGCCGCAGAAGCGATTCTGAAAGCTCCACGCGATGATGCGGGGCAGCCAAAAGCCGCCGCCGCTGCTGCTGCTGCGAGGATGGCCGCAGTTGGCGTGATGGTTCATGCTCCACAACACAGGGGAGTTCTTTTGGGGTTATAATCGCGTGAATTTAAATGTGTCGTTTAACCCGCCGCCACCACCCGACACAGCCAATTAGTAAGGTTTAGTGTCACGTTAACAGAACGTGCGAAATCGTTACTGGTACAGCACGCCGGTTGTGTTGCAGAGAAAATCCACACCATTTACAATACGAGTACGACGTTTCGCCAGTAATTACGACTTGCATCATCAGGCGGACAGCAAGATTTGTGTGCTGGCGTGCTGTACTAGTAACGAATTGGCACGATCTGTTTACGTGACAAACGCTACTAATTGGCTTTGGCGGGTTTAACGACACATTTACGCGATCTAACCCAAAAAAACCTCGATTATGGATGATATTGGTCGCAAAAGCCTGCTACGTGTTCAACTGTTTTATGCTCCTTGATGAGAACAGCAAGAATCTGAATATTAACTTATAACTGGAGGAATCCGATGAGCTATGAAGTTATTTATGCCACAGATGTCCAATCGGGGCGGGTAAGAACGTCACATCAACAAACAATACAAAAGCACGGCGCCACTCGCGTTGTCAAAGAAACGTTTAACTTGAATCAGAATATTTATTAACACTGATGAGCTATGAAGCTCTTTCTTTCCACAGATCTCCAGTAGGGGCACGGGGTCAGAACGTTACAGCAACTGTGGTGCCACAACCGCGGAGCGAAACTCTGCAAGCGTAGCGATTGTCCACTACCCCCCACCCTGAGCACACACACACACAACAACAACAACCGCCATTCGCCACTAAGTGGCGGTGACGTCACCACGACGCTTGTGCCAGGCCAAGTGCACCTTGAGGCCACGTGAAGTGTCGAACGCCCGCTGGCAGGAGGTCACGGGGCAGACCCAGGTGCCACGGGTCGACTGACCGAGATGACCAAGATGACTGGCTGATGTACCACCTGTGCCCCCTACTGTACCAACTTGCTGTGCTTAAGCCACCCGGCGCTCCGCTCGTTGTTGTGAGCGTCGCTCATCCGCCCTCCGTTGTTGTTGGAGGGCGACTGCCTCCAACTGCCCAGTAGCATCCTTCACGAGCCTCCTCCACAGAGGCCGATCTTGACACCGCTGGTACCAGTCATAGGCAAGTCCACTCAGCTCCACGTCCTCCTGTACCACATCACTCCATCTCTTCTATAGCCCGTGCCGCGCCCGTTTAGCCCCCTCGATCCGGCCGAACAAAAGCTGTTTAGGCATGCGGTGGCTGGGCATGCGGGCTACATGACCCAGCCAACGCAGCCTTGCCTGCCGGAGGAGCTCACCGATGGGACTTTGCCCAGATCTTTCAAGGATTTGTGAGCTCCTCACACAATCCAGCCTGGTTAAACCCAGGATGGATCGCAGGCAGGCCAGCCTAAATGTTTCCAACCGGCGAAGATGCTCCACCAGGGGGGTCCACGTTTCGCAAGCGTAGAGAAGGGATGGAATGACTGTGGTCGAGAAGACCTGAAACTTCGTGCGGAGCGACAGACCAGGTAGCTTCCACACAGCGTTACGCAACCGGTGAAAAGATATTGCCGCTCGACTGATTCGGAGTGAGACCTCTGCTGTTAAACTGGAGCTGGTCATAAGCACACTGCCCAGGAATGGGAAACTCTCCACTCTCTCCACAACTGCCCCATCACCGATTGGGAGTTGTGCGGGTGGAGTGTCCGATGGTACAAAATACCCAGGCAGGTGCTTAGTTTTGGTGGGGCTGATCGTAAGGCCCCACCTCATAGTGGCACGCTCCAGTCTCAGAAGCAGCGTCTCCAACTCCTCCTCTGAATGAGCAGCTATTACCAAATCATCGGCATACATAACGTGGTTGACCAATAGGGAGCCATCCCTTGATCGCACCCGGGCATCGATCAGCCTCCCATTATATCTGTACCAAATGGAAATTCCCCCGGTACAGCTATTGAAGGCTTCACGAACTACGCGGTCAAAATAGATGTTAAATATAATGTGGGAGCCAGAGGACATCCCTGCCGCACCCCAAGGTGTACAGGGAAAGGCTCTGACTCCCAGCCACGTAGTTTTACCCGGGCCCGCTCACCATCATGAAGGTCCTTAATGATCGTGAGCAGAGGGTCAGGGACTCCGAAAGCACGAAGAACAACCCAGAGCCCAGGCCTACTGATGGTATCATAGGCCTTGACCAGGTCAATAAAGCAGAGATGTAGGTCTTGTTGGAATTCCCTACATCTCTGCTGTAGCAGACGGACAGAAAACGTGGCATCTGTGCAGGACCGTCCTTTCCTGAAACCGCAATGGGGCTCCGCAAGCCTCTCCTCAGCGTGCCTAGCAAGGCGATGTTGAATAATCCTTGCCAGGACCTTTCCCGGCACACTGAGGAGTGAGATGCCCCTGTATTTGTTACAGTCTGTGTGGTCCCCCTTCTTAAAGAGGGGGACCACCAGGGCATCCTTCCAATCCTGCGGAACCTTCCAGTGGTCCAGACTGTTGTTATGATGTCATGTAGGGCAGTCTGTGCACAAACGCCACCCTCCCTCAGCATTTCGCTTGGGAGATTTTCTCTGCCCGGTGCCTTTCCTAGTCTCAGACTCTGGATCGCCTTCAGTACTTCCTCAACAGATGGCACCTCAGCCAGCCACTCACAGGGGGTGACCTCTTCCAATATTTGAGGCACCGCAGCCTCAGCAGGGTTATCCCCACTTTGTGCCATGATGTTTTCCTGGCTGAGGGATTTCCCCTCCCCCAGGACCTCACATAAATGCTCAGCAAATCTGCAAACCTGTTCCTGGGGGTCGGAGATTGGATCACCGTTTTTTTTCCCTAACGATGGTAATAGGTGTGGCGCTGCAGGTTACTTTTTTGATGGAATTAATTCGTGATTTGTGATCGCGGGCCACTGAGGAAGACTCTATGTCCTCAGCAACCCGCGACCACCACTCATCCTTGCAGCGCCTTACGGCTCTCCGAACCTCCGAGCGAAGGCTGCGGTAAGCCTCCTCATTCTCTGACGTGGGATGCTGTAGCCGATGAGAGTGGGCCTGTCGCTTTTTCTCAACTAACCTGAACACCTCCTCTGTCAGCCAGGGTTTCTGGGGAGGTCTGGACCGCGTACCCAAAGCGGCCATTGCCGCTGCATGAGTCACAGTCCTAAGCCTCGCCCATTTACCCTCGACATCAGGAGGAGTGGGGGACGATGCCAACCCCAGCTGCAAGCGATGATGACATTCTCGCTTGCAACTTTCATCAGCTAACTGAGATCAGGCCACTTTAGGTTGGAATGGGGTCCTGGGTGTACACCCACCACCGGAGTTGAAGAATGGCAGGCGCATCTTACTGATGACTAGTCGATGGTCAGAGGGCAGATCAGCTCCACGGTAGGTCCTGGTGTCAAGGACATGGGCTCGCGTCCGCTGGTCCGTCACTATGTAGTCCAGCAGATGTTCTTGCTTGGACCCGGCATGCGTCCATGATGTTGTGTGGATGCACTAATGCCGGAAGAGCGTGTTGGTAATTACAAGCCCATGGGCAGCGCAAAATCTAGCAGCCTCCTACCGTTGTTATTGAGCTGATCTGGCCCATGCCTTCCAATCACTCCAGACAAGATGCCAGCATCATGACCAACTCGGGCATTGAAGTCACCCAACAAGATGACTCTGTCCCGAGTGGCCACTTTAGCCAGCACCTGTGACAGGAGGTCATAGAAGGCATCTGACTCATCGGCTTTGCCTGCATCCCTCCACGGATGTTCGTCTTCGGTGGGGGCATAAGTAACCACGACCACCACTCCTCACCTCCGGTTGATGGGAAGGCGAGCCCAAAGTATCCTGGGGCTTACAGCTTCCCACACCTCACCGCCACGCTCCCACGCCCCCTTCATTCTTTTGTTCAAAAGAAGAGCCAC